GAATTGTGGAATGTGAAGACCTAGGGTCAGGGGTTCATCTGTGGTAGGGGTACTTCTGATTATTGCTGAATATTACCGATTAGTTGAAATGCATTTCTTGTTCCCCTACCCTGCCTATGGGTATTACGTAAACATACTAAGCAATTACTAGGTGTATAGTTATGATTAGCAATGGTGCCTCTTTCAAAATTGTGAATGCATAGCATCTAGCGTAAAACATGAACCAATTCAGTTATTTGAATGTTGTTGCATGATGCGCAGGTGACCTATAAGGCCCATGGGCCTCTTGTTTTAATTTATGACCTTTCAAAGAAATACAAGCTTGGTTCTTAAAAAGGAATTTGCAGTTTTCTGTTTGTGTTTGGACTATGATCTTGACGGTGATGATGTTTGCAACGGGAGACCCGTACTATGTGTCTGATCAAAAAAGTAAAATAAGAGGTGCACAATGGTACAAAGTAATACAGATTCTGTAAAAGTTTCATTAAATTTTAATGAGTGATGTAAAAGGATTTGCGGATAAAAGATGGGTTCTCCAAAGCGTACGTCCCGATCACTATATACTTTCCCGCTTTTCAAGCGGGGGTATACAATATATTTCTTTGCATTTTTGGTAGGATTTGTTTATCTGCATTCAAGATATTGTTTACATATATATGGTACGTTTGTCCAAGAAATCCCGCTAGATTTGAACATTTTCCGACTTTTTCCACAAAAGATTCCACAAAGAACTGTAACTCTTTTATAGTGGAAGTAAGAGAAAAAGATCGCCTTGAGCTTAATTGCATTGGGATTTCTAGTCTACAGTCTCTGATACAGTTGTTCTGCAAAAAATGAAAGAAAAATATGTACAATTAAATGGAAGTTTAAAGAAAAGATCTTAATGCGTAAAATATATATATATATATATATATATATATATATATATATATATATATATATATATATATATATATATATAATCAAATAGAAAATTGTACTTCAATATACAATTAACCTACTTCAAATTGTAAGGCTGAAGATAGAAATCTGAAAAAAAAATTTTTTTTACCTGCAATGTAGTGTAAATTGCAGTCCTCTAACACTTTTTTCAACGACGACACGACTAAACCGCGTGGAAATAAACGATACCATTCTGCCATGATATAGAGACATTTCTCCTGTGCGCTGATTGGTATATCGGTAATTCTGTTTAGAGTGAATTTCCTCTCATCTGTTGTTTGCTTTTCGCTAGACTTTGGTAGACAAACGATTTCATAACTGTCCGTCTCTTCACCGCTAAATATGGCAGGTATCTCTATATCCAGACTATTGGCGATATCCTTCCACTTCGCAGCAACAGAGTTATAACGAGAAACCATATTGATTGCCTTTATTAATTTTGGATCTGAAAAATGTAAATTTTTTAATTGCCCATAAATATTCCAGGTTCGGAAATTTCTAGGAAAGAAAAGTATCAAGTAATTGTAAAATCCGGGGATAGTTTAATGGGGATAAAAGAAAGATTTAGAATTAAGATGCCATGTCCCTAGAGATTGGATACATATCCTCTGAGCGAATGCTCCTTGCAACCTAAGAATATATCTTCTAAAGGGGTGAATGTTTACTGATACATAAAAACAACAGTTTCTCTACCTAACTCTTTATCTGATAAATTTGTTTATTAAAGCAATTGGAAACGAGAAAAGGCGTGAAAAACGTTCTTGTATCATTAACAGTGGGACGGACAACTTCGGAATGGACATTTTTCCGAACTTGCGCACCCTTTTCCTTTAAAGCTATCATCTTACGGTTTTTTTTAAATGGTGGGGTTTTTATAATCAAATTGATTTATGAAAAAAAAAATTCAACATTTTCTGCTAGTTTTTGAGATATTTGAGTTCAAAAACAAAAATCCCATGGGGAAACATGAACTTAAAAATACCCCACAAAAAACCCCACAAAAACCCCATGGGGTTTATTTTTCACCCCATGGGGGAAATAACCCCACGAAAATCAATGTAGGTTTTTTAAACCCATATGTTGCTTATATTGTCATATGGGGTTTTTTCTCCCACGTTTCTTTATCATGGGGTTTTAAATCCCATGTATTGATATATTTACTGTAAGATAATTCCTAAAAACTTGGGTTTTTTTCTTAGACTAATGGATCATTAGTATCTTCTCTGTTTCTCATTTTATAAAAGTGGATAGTTATAACAAATATCTATTATTTTTCAAATTTTCAAGTATTCATTCTTCAAATTTTTGCTTATGTAAAAGAAGATTTATATGAAAACAGGTTTCTAAGGCAGTTGCCTCCCAAAATGAAACATTCATCATAAAACTCTTCACAGATTATTTGATCGATGACCATTAATCTGAATATTTAAAAAAATGAAACAAGAAAATTTAATACCAACACAATAGCAACCAATTCACAGTGTCCAAAGAGGGTCTCTTTCCTTAACTAATGTATATTTATATATGTTAGGTTTATATGATGTCTAGTTTGTGGATTTTTTTTAAATCTCCATTCCCCTTGCATTCACCACTAATAAGATTGGATTTATTTAATTCATGTGCAATATATCTACATATTTAATTAATGGAACTCAATTCAGTTATATATCACAAAGTACAACTATTAAAATCTTTTGATTCACCCAAATATTTAAAAATAAAATATTTATGCCTCTTGGATCCACCACTTATCAGTTTAGATCATGACCACACATGACATATATATAATCTTAATGCTTAAAATCAATCAGCCATATCAAGGATATTAATGACTATGGCATAGTCATTAATATCCTTGATACACCACAAATATTTCTTTAAAAAATGAATATCCACTCCCCATGGATCCACCACTAATAAGTTAAGTTCTTGATCACACATGACATGTAAGATTAAAGTTTGAAATAAATTAGCCATAATCATTATTATCCTTTTACCAACCACAAATATTTAAAAATAATATCCGCTCCCTTAGATCCACCACTTTTAAATTAAGATCATGTTCACAACTGACATAAAAGCTAAATGTTTGAAATAAATTAGCCATAATCATAAATCATTAATATCCTTTGATCATTCACAAATATTTAAAAAAGATAAATATCCACCCCCCTTGGATCCACCACTTATGAGTTTTGATCTTGATCACACATGACATATAAGTTTAATGTTTGAAATCAATTAGCCGGAATCAGTAATGTCTTTTTACCCATCACAAATATTTAAAAATAATATCCACTTGCCTTGGATCAACCACTTTAAAATTAAGATCACGAGCTAAATGTTTGAAATAAATTAGACATGATCACAATTCATTAATAACCTTTGATCAAACACAAATAATTAAAAAAGATAAATATCCACTCCCCTTGGATCCACCACTTATAAGTTTAGATCTTGATCACACATGACATATAAGCTATATGTTTGAAATCAATTATCCATAATCATTATTATCCTTTGACCTATTACAAATATCTATCTACTCCCTTTACATCCACCACAACTCTTATGGCTATCAAAACAATTAATATCCACTTGCCTTGGATCCACCACTTCTTAGTTAAGATCATGATCACACACAGAAATATTAACTAAACGTTGAAATAAATTTGCAAAAATCATTAGTATCCTTTGATCCACCACAAGTATTTAAATATCAACTCCCCTTGGATCCACCGCTCATAAATTTAGACTATAATACATGACTTATAAGCTAAATGTTTGAAATCAATTAGCCATAATCATAATTAAAAAAGATGAGACAAATATCTCATGTCGCTTTGTCTTAGGTAAATGAGAAAAGCAATAAACGAACGAAAATATTACAACCTACAGTATTCCCTTAGATCTGCCATCATGTCTTTAGATATTGATCACCAATCTGATTTATTCTTCTTTTTTTATCATTAGGTTAGGTATCTTTATTATTTTTATGAATGAATGAATATTATGAAAAATGAAATTAATTGCATCTCTATGCTACTCTGTCTGAATAAAAAAAAAAGCTGAAATAACCACTTAATATCAGCCAAAAAAGCAGGTACAATGAATATGATTAAATAAGACAACATATACATTGTATACATGTACTACGCCTTTACGGTACCTTATTTACTACTAGTAATTTTTTTAAGTTTATACCTGTCATCAACCAGCTCGACTGTTAAATCTACATTGGATAACAAATCAATTTAGGCTTTACATAGATCATGTACATTATAATTATTAGTAATATATAATTGGAATTCATCGAAAATTCTTTGGTTTCTAATTAGAAAAAAAGAAGTTCTGAAATTATTAAAACTAAATTTTCATCCTGCAAGGTGCAGTCAGGCAATATTGATCTCATTCTGACAAAGTGACAATATCACTTTTTTTCATTGAAATAGATCTACATGTATGTCAAACATGATATTTCTTTTTCTTATGATACTTAAACTTTCTAACTATAAACTAAATTATTGTAAGAAGACGTTTATTTTTACAGAAAGCATCTATATGCATTATCAGGTCAAGGTCAGTCAATCCCTTTTGATGAGTTCTTTTGATTTTTGTCCCCCACCTTAGCGAATAAGAGAGGACATTAAATCTTATTCATCTGTCATCTGTTAAATGGTCAGCTTATCAATGTCATAAAAACTTAAACTTTGGTCATATCTTTTGAATGAGATGAGATAGGGCTTTCAACATGTTCAAATTATACATGTATTACCTGTGCGAATTATTCCTTTCTTAATACAGATTACACTATCATGATTTTTTACCATTATATCTTGACCTTGAAGTATGACATACTTTTCATAAATATTAATTCTTCCTTATGACTTTGATTTAGAAGAGATAGATTTTTCATATGTCTGTTGCAAGATATTTCTTAGCATGCTATGATTTCTGACCCCTTGACCTTTATTCATGTTTGACCTAATTAGAAAAAAAAAACTTTGGAGCAACTCTTCAATAAGGTATTTCCATACATATCGTATGATTGGTACTTTGTTGTCAAAGTGATAATTTTTGGTTCACAGTTTTTTAAAAGGAAAATAGAAATTTCACATCTATATCGCTGCAGTTGTTAAGATCCACCCTTGTGAGTACCCCATAAAAGTACATGCAGGGATTAATTATTGAACTCATTCGCACAGACCTTATGTTATAGAATCCATAAATAAACTGAACTTGAACTTGATTAACCTTAGACAGGCACAATGTGACATACCCTACTGATACATGGGACACCCTGACAGATATTCCTCCTCCCTAAATTGACTGTTGAGTAAGACTAAGAAAACTAATAAAAGTTATATTAATTTTTGACCATGTATATTCCTCTAATATCTATCATATAGAGCTTGATTCCGTTTTGCAAGAAATAACCCCCAAATAATGAAATTCATAGCATGCTAATACTTACATCACTGACATGTAAACAAAACTAATTCCTTCAGACACTGACTGACAGCAGAATTCCAATTGGACATTTTGTGATGTTAATGGAATAATTCACACACGCCAAATCAATCAGACTGATTTAAATACTTGCGTGAATTAATCCTTGTTAAAATAAAGTTCTTAATTCCATCATTAGGCCTGTACATCCAGACAGCCTGACAGGTGGTCTTCTTCCTTTCCGCTCTTCTGTAGTGTGACTAAAATGGGTAGCGAAACGCGGGCCGGGCCGGTCGCATAATATTTGGTCCGCCTCGTTTAAAGGTCCGGCCGGACCTAATACGATAACATATTTGGTCCGCCTGGCTCTATAAGAAAAGGTCCGCCCTCGGCCTTTTATACAAATTGTATGCATGTAGTTCATTCGATATTAATTGAAAAACTATTCTTTTAAAATTAATTAAGGATATATAGTCGTATCAATAGCTAGTGTTTTCTCCAAGGAAATGTAGTAAACAATAAGTAAGAAATCGAAATTAATACATAAATACAGGAATGTATAGATTTATTGATCGGGTTTCCTATCGGGAAGATGGGACATGCTTCTTTTGTCGTTAAAATTAATACACTAATGTCAACATTATCATTAAAAAATATTAAGAATACAAATGTACATACATTTACCTTCAACGCCTTGTTTACTGGCAGATTAATCAGTATTGAATGAACAGATAAATGTTCGTAAGTCCAACACGAATCATTTAGTTACACTCTTTTCCTATAAACATGATAAACGTTTGACTAATCCACTCACAAAAACTTAAGTTCACATCTTTCAAAATATATTTCTTTATAGTATTGATAAAAGAAATCTGTCATTCTTTACGTTTAATATTGTTGTAAATAATTGGAGGGTCACTAGCTGTGGCAGGGGCTTATGTCACGGTGTACTACCCTACACCCCTTATTGTAAAAACAACATGCCTACGGA